CTATGCAGCTCATAAACAGCCATTCCTCCTCCTGCTTATATGCTCCCTTCAAGTACTGGAAGGCCACAATGAAGTCTCCCTGAAGCCTTCTCCAAGCTAAACAAGCCCTGTTCCTTAAACCTAAACATAGGAGAGCTGCTCCAGCCCTCTGATCATCTTAGTGATCCTCCTTTGGACCCGCTCCAAGAGCTCCATATCCTTCCTGTTCTGGGAACCCCAGGTCTGGTCGCAGTACTGCAGATGGGGCCTCACAAGAGCTGAGTAGAGGGGGACAAACACCTCCCTCTCCCTGCTGGCCACCCCTTTTTTAATGCAGCCCAGAACACAATTGGCCTTCTGGGCTTCAAGCTCACACTGCTGGCTCATGTCCAGCTTCTTGTTCACCAGTACCTCCAAGTCCTTCTCCGCAGGGCTGCTCTCAAGGAGATCTTCCCCCACTTTGTATAAATACCTGGGATTGCCCCGACCCACGTGCAGCACCCTGCACTTGGCCTTACTGAACCTTGTCAGGTTTTCATGGGCCCATTCTCCAGCCTGTCCAGGTCCCTCTGGATGGGTTCCCTTCCTTCCAGTGTATTGACTGCACCTCTCAGCTTGGTGTCATCCGCAGACTTGCTGAGGCTGCACTCGATGCCATCGTCTGTGTCACTGAAGAGCACTGGTCCCAAGACCGACCCCTCAGGGACACCACTTGTGAGAGGCTTCCACCCTGACACAGAACCACTGATCACAACCCTTTGGCTGTGTCCAGCCAGCCAATTCCTAATCCACCAAACAGTCCATCCTTCAAATCCACACCCCTCCAATTTAGAGAAAGATGTGAGGGACCAGGTCAAAAGCCTTTAAGAAGTCCAGATAGAGGACATCCACCGCCTTTTCCCCATCCACTGAAGCCATCACTCCATCATTGAAGGCCACCAGATTGGGCAGGCATCATCTGCCCTTGATGAAGCCATGATGGCTGTCTTGAATCACCTCTTTATCTTGTATGTGCCTTAACATAGCTTCTAGGAGGATCTGCTCCATGATCTTCCAGGCACAGATCTGAGGCTCACTGGTCTGTAGTTCCCCAGATCTTCCTTTTTATGTTTCTTAAAAAATGGGACTGATGTTTCCCTTCTTCCAGTCACCGGGGACTTAACCGACTTTATGAAACAAGGCAGCTTTGGGTCAGCTTTGCAACGAAACAAGGAAGATAAAAAGTCACTCCTGTTGCTAAGAATAAGGCAAAGGATGGACGTACTTGTGGGAAGACTAAAATTTGGTTTAAATGGTTTTAAAAAAGTAAATCTAATATGTAATTAGAAAGTAATATTTGCTAATTAGAGGTTTGTATTTCCCAGTTTGGAAATCCCTAAATGAAAGTTTGTTACTGTCCAGTCTGTAAAGCAATGAAAAGAGAAAAAAAAAAAAAAAGCTGTTTTAGGGGACAGATCTCTCAACCACTTTACCCATCTATTTTGAGCTTGGCATATCTGTCACATCTATCTGAATTTTATTAATCACATCCTTATGCTACACTTAAACCATTTTAAACTGAGAGTTCTGTTCTTTGTAAAGTAAGAAGCTATTCTTGGAGAGTGGGGAGAAGCTATGTGCGTTCTAAATAAATGGTCACTGGATGAATTCTGCAGTCAGGCAGGTTTACTTGGTGGGTATGGAAAGAGGCCAAGTAAGAAAGGGCCATATGGAAGGAGCATTATTGTGTAACATATAGTGTAATATATATCTCAATAAATACATTATATACGCCTGCAGGACCTGATACGTTTTTGGACAGGTTATTGGAGATACCTATTTTTTCCCCTTCCTACCTTTAGTACTGCAAAATATTTCTTGCTGCAGTGGTTAGTGGTCACACCTATGCCTCCTTTTAAAAGACACAAAAGCTATTAGATCCTTACAATGACATCTTTAGTACCATCTGCACTAAATTTATTTCTGAAATTACTAACGTACTGAAATTAACTGTTTAAATGAAGTTCATATCACTCTTGTAGATTATACATTAGAGAACCATACTGCTGCAGGGATAGGTCCAGCCTGACGAAAACTCCTAGAGCTTGTGCTTTGTTGAAGCCTGGAAGATTATAAGGTAAAATAAGGGAGTTTCTAATGGAGGATTTTCATTACAAATATGAAAAAGAAAAAAAAAGTTTTTAGCAATTGCTAAGAGCTTCTATTAAAAATAATATTTCCAAAATAAAATCAACACAAAACCCACCCATAATCAATGCTTCAGCAAAAGCTTTCAGCACTTCTTTTGAAGGCACTCTTTTTTCAGCGTCATCGCCTCAGCTAGAGATGGAAATGCTCACATAACTCATGTAAAAGGATCAAGACTTCCATCCCCAAAACAGCAGTGTTGTCCTTTCAGTTTCTCTTGGTTTAAGTGACCTTTTTTTAATTACGTGAAAAAAAAAAACCACAACCTCAGCAACCTCTAATAAGCGTATTATTAATTCTTAACCAAGTTGATACTGACACACTGCTATTTTAAGAGTTAATGCCCTTCAGAAAAGGAAATTAACTTGCAAATGAAGTAGAATAAGTAAGTTCTGCTTCTTAAAATAGCCACTACAATTCTCGTGCTCTCAAAAGATGTTTTTACAAAGAACTAAGTATCTTTCACAAGAAAAAACTGGAATTTACCTTAAAATGCCATCATTGCAACTTCCTACGTGAGACTTACAAGGAATAAAGACTGTCTTAATGCAGAGGAGCCAAGACGTTTTCAAAGAAATGGGAATTTCAGGTAAACTTGTTCAATATTCCTGCGGGTGTAATGTAGCCTTGACAGTGCCTTAAGACTAAGGCTGTATTCATAGCCATATTCCAAGTCTTGAGTAAAAATTATCCTTTGTTAAATTAAAAAACACAAGGTTTCTTCTCCCTCTACATACCTTTTTCTGGGTTTGGAGATATTAAGCATCTCACAAAGGTCAAGGCTATATTCACAGTTAAAGTGCAGGAAAAAAGTGAGGTAATAATTAACCAGTAACTATTTAAGCATGCTTCTCAATAAGCTACTTCAAAATCACCTTATTCAAAGTGTACATAAACTAGAACAAGTTGTTTTACTGATGCAGAAAAAAATATCCGAGTACCCATTCTCATTTAACCCTTCAGGAATAGGGAAATGCTGACTGTTGATAATATTTAAAGTTAGCATATAAAATAATGGACACAAAATGCAGTGCGAGTTCTTCCTGAGCGTACAATATAGTAACATATCTGTATTATTAATAACAGTACAGATCTAAATCACAGAATCACAGAATCGCATGGTTGGAAACGACCTGCAAGATCATCTAGTCCAACCACCCTCCCATTCCTATCAGTACCACAAGCACTAAACCACATCTCGTAGCTCCTCATCCAGGCGCCTCTTGAACACTGCCAGGGACGGCGACTCCACCACCTCCCTGGGCAGCCATTCCAGTGCCTGACCACCCTCTGAGAGAAAAAGTTTCCTAATGTCCAACCTAAACCTCCTCTGGTACAACTTCTGGCCGTTTCCTCTGGTCCTACTATTTGCCTGGGAGAAGAGGCCAGAACCTTTTGCACCACAACCTCCCTTCAGGAAGTTGTAGAATGCAATGAGGTCTCCCCTGAGCCTCCTCTTCTCCAGACTGAACAATCCCAGCTCCCTCAGCCGCTCCTCATAAGACTTGTGCTCCAGACCCCTCACCAGTTTTGTTGCCCTTCTCTGGACACGTTCCAGGGCCTCAATGTCTTTCTTGTAGTGAGGGGCCCAAAACTGAATGTAACTGACTGACTAACAATTAAAATATGTGAAACTACAGAACGTTCAAAGAAAAATCTTGTGGAAACCAAAAATCACCTGGGAAAGATTTCATCAAATTGGCTAAATTCTTTAAATGCAATTAAAAGCAGCAGATTTTTTTTCAAGTCCAAAGAGAGAAATGGAACACAAATCTTTTCACATAGCATGTTCTGTTGTGTATTTATGATTATAATTATAGCAATTAATTTTTATTCAAAGGTTGTCTTTAACCCATCTGGAGGGAAAAAAAAAAAAAAAAAAAAGGCAGTGTTGACTACCACTAGAAAATTGCAAATAAAATGTTTAATTTCAGAAGTTCACCATTTATAAATACACTAAAACATAGTAAATGCAAAATTAGATTAGGCATAGGTACAGTATTTTAACAAAGCTACAACTTTTCTAAAAGGTCATAGGCAAATGATGATTTTTTCCCAAAAAGTATTTAATGAAAACAGAAATGAGAAGATTTATCTTTCTAAAGTTAAAAAACCATTGGAGAACATTCCTTTCAAATTAGAATGCTGGCTGTATTTTTCTTCTTGCTTGAAGTCTTGAGGGCTCTATATCCCACTTGCCTGATGGACTCTGACAGTTAAGAATCAACCCTACTACATAAAATTCTAAGCAGTGCACCGTATCCATAAGGCTATTACTGAAAATCAGAAGATCAGTTATTTTTGTACTAGGAGCTTTAAGACAGGCTGTTCTACAGAGTTGAAATTACATTAGGAATAAGGGCTCAGTTTATACAATAGGGATCCTTACAGTTCTGATGCACTAAAGATAAGAAAAGGCTTTAGAATGACTTTATAGTCTTCATTGTAGATTTTTTGCTTTTTTTTTTTTTTTTGTACACGGCATTAAATAACAAGCATTAATTCATAAACTTTGATAAAACTCCTGAAGAGCTTTTATAAATACCCAGAATATTTCCATCGTTCCATTAAATGTATAACCTGAACAGGAGAACCCTGGATGGGAAGTTTTACGACAGACAGTCGTATAGCTGACATTCCATATCATCTCAAATTAAAGATTTATTTTCAGATACTACATCGATAGTCTCCTGTAAACACATCTTCCTTAATGACTCTTATTAATCCTTTTAAGTTCTTTAGGGCTTGCAGCTAAAAACATCGTATGATAAAAAGATGGCTTGAATCCCATCTTTCGTATACAGCTTTCTTTTGACAACTATAAGAGCTGTTCGTTGTTTGTTGTTTTTTTTTGTTTTTGTTTTTTTTTTTTTGCAATTAAAGCAATGCAACTAAAATACAGTACCTGGTTTATGGTTTTTACATAATAATTGAATAAAAAACTACAGAATAGAACTGTTTACATCTTTTTTTTTCTTTTTTTTTTTTTTGCCATCCTATTAAAACAAATGACTGAGTTTTTCTTTTTAAAAGTTCATTTACAGTTACGGATTAAAACCTACATAATTCTGTATAACTTGACAAGACAGTCTATCTCTAGTGTGAACTTTTAAAAAAAACATATATACAATATCTGGCCTGAAGTACTATGAATAAGGCACATGTAGACATATTGAAAGCTGAAAAAATGAAACTAAAATTTGGAATTATAGTCACTGATTAGATGTCATACATGGCCCCTATTGGAGCAATTTAACAATCCAAGTTACAGATAGTTATTATCCAGTGAGCAACAAAATTTTTAGTCTAGCAGTTTGTTCGTTAGTTTCAATACTGGAAGTATATTAAAGGAAGATTCACTTTCAAAAAGATAAGTTTTTCAAAGTGTTCAATCATTAATCTCGACTGACTAAAGTTGTTGCTTTCATTGGATGTATTAAACAATCTCTCTGAAGGAACAATACTTGGTGGACAACCCAAGAACCTGACAGCCAATTTTGACAGTACTGGCCAAGATGACTTCTTAAAGTTCCAGTAAGTTAGAGGATCACAGTTATGCTCGAGTACTTCTTCCTCCAAGTAAGAAAGCACCATTTCCTCTGGTAACTTTGCTCTCTCCTTCAGATCTTTCGTCTTCTTCATGTCACCCATGAGTGACCAAAGATTATCTTCTCCATACGAATTTGTAGATGGTGAACCTATATCACATCCATTGGAAACAGGTTTATCATCTTCTGAGGTAGAACTCATTATTTCCAGCTCCCTGATTAAGTCTTGTTTATACTGTTCAGCCTCCTCTTCAGTAAATAAAGATGTTTTATAGCGAGGATCCAGAAGCGTCGCAAAAATGTACCTTGGATCATGAAGTGTGGAGGACAATCTGCTCACCATAGCTTCTTTCAAAGATTTCAGCATAGTATCTATGCCCATTGTTTCCTCAAATAGCATTTCTATTTTCCTGTTAAGTATATGGATCATTGGGATCACTTGACTTAAAGTAGACATGTGTGTACTCATTTCCCTACTTGCGGCTTCGAAAGGCTTGAGAGCATGACACACTGACTGCATAACTTCCCACTGATCACAACTTATCAGCTCCCGAAAGCTGCACTCTATTGACATTTCATCAATTGCTCTTTTCTGTTCAATCAAACGTTCGAGCATATGAAATGATGTGTTCCACTTGGATGGAACATCTTGTATAAGCTGATGCTGAGGCAGCTCATACTCTTTTTGCAACTCAGCTAACTTCTCTTTTGCTTTTGCTGACCGATGAACACGTTCACAGATCTTTCTTGCGATACTTAGCAAATTCTGAACCATTCTCTGGCTTTTAATGGCCTCGTTTACGATGACATTAACAGTGTGACTAAAGCACTGTACACTTGAATGATCACCCTCATTTAAAGTTTTTTCTATACTGTGATTATCAGTAACAGTAATCCCAATCTGAAGGCCAATGGAAGTAATCCACATTTCCCACCAGTACTCTAACTGCTTTTGAATACTGATTCCATTGTAGTCGCAATCGATCTGTGATACATTTAATAGTGCTGAACAGTGATAATCCTCACACTGCGGTCGAAATGAAGACTCAAATGTTACCCAGTGAGCTGTAAGGGTTAGATATTCTCGTGTTTGGTTGCTCATCCATATTCCTGATGTAAAATGGATCACTCCACTTTCAGCTTCTTTAAGATGAGAAATAATTATTTGTCTTACATTATCATACATATCTGGAATTGCTGTCCTAGAAAAGTAAGATGGAGAAGGTAAAGAATACTGAGGTTGCAAGTATTCAAGCAGCCTGTTAAAGCCAATGTTGTCTACAAAAGAATATGGCTGAAGGTCAAGTGCAATCATTTCAGCTACAAGACTTGTGATTTTTTTGGCAACTGGGTGAGAGTCACAAAACTTGTCATTGGTTTCATCAAAAGTTGAAGATGCTAATAATTCTGTGCTCAGTGGCATATGATTATCCGTAGATGTGGATAATACAGTCTCTGAGACATCAGTTTTCAATACATTGTTATGAAACCGCTGCAAATGTCTTAGAAGGCAACTCGTGCCCAGATTTGTTGGCTTTTTCCCCCTACTTATTGTACGTCCACAGTGCATACATATTACTTTTGTTGAATCTGCAGAACAAATTGAAAAGTGATTCCACAGTTTTGAGGTCTTCTTGCTATTGACAGGAAAAATAATTTGATTATCGTGTGTAACCATTGTAGGTAACTCAGTCAACTTTGAGGATGAACATTCTGCAGAAGCCAAAGTAGCATAAGGAGAATTTGCCAAACTAACATCAAGACAGCTTTTTTGGCTTCCAATTATATCAGGATGGCGTCTATATAGATGTCTCATCAAGCAGCTCGTTCCTACATCTCCTTTTTTACCACGACTTATCATACAACTGCAGTATCTACATACTGCTTTTAGACTGTCAGCAGGTGACAATGAAAAGTGATGCCAAACTTCTGATTTAAGCCTTTTCATAATCCTTTTATTTTGCTGAAATACCGCAGTAGGTTCAAATATGAGTGGGCCTAATCCCTCACACTGTTTCTCAGGGGAGGACACAAATGAGACTTCACCTATGTCATCAGAAGATGACAGCATTGAGTCTTCCACTAGAACATCTCCAGAAGAGAGATTAGTATGTATTTCCTCTGAGATTCTGTCTGGAGAAGAGGACACAGAAGCTGATTCTTTCATTAGTTTTCCAGGAGAGGATGACATAGAATTCAGATCACTATCTGATGGCAGCAAAGAAGGCAACAGAGTTGGAGGTGTGGTGTAGAGAGGTGGTATACTGGTACCACCCCCGTTCTCTTGCAGGACAATGGAACGATGTGCTCTCCACATGTGTCTTATCAAACAACTCGTTCCCAGGTCTTTTCCATTTTTTCCTCTACTGAATTCATTCATACAGTGGATGCAAACAGCTTTAGAATTATCAAGCGGTGATAAATAAAAGTGTTTCCAGACAGCAGATCTCCTTCTAGAACCTGATGTGTTCTTTGGAATTACAACAGTTTTTTCTGCTACATTCTCCACAGTTTCATCATACTGGCTGTTGGGCAGCTGTGGAGATGACCCAACCATGACTTCTTCTTTGTTGCACTTTTCAGAAACAGAGAGATCTGCTATTTCTTCAGAAGAAACAATAGAAACAGATTCCTCAATTATTCGATCTGGAGATGGTATTTTAGAAGCCATTTTCTTTACCAGTTTTATAGGGGATAACATAGAACTCAGATCTCCCATATCTGCAGACTGAGGAGGCAGTAATAATGTAGGTGAAGAAAAGGAAGATATATTTGGCATAGTCCCATTTTCTTGAATTAGTACAGTAGGATGGGCTCTCCTCACATGTCTCATGAGACAACTTGTACTTAGGTCCTTTTCATTTTTACCCCTGCTAAATTCTTTCATACAGTACATACATATTGCTTTAGTGCTATCTCTAGGAGATATAAAAAAATGGTTCCAAGCAGGTGACTTTTTTCTGGAGCTTATATTTCTGCTGGAAAGGAGGCTCTGTGTCACAGCCTCCATTGCTACATCATACAGCGTACTACTATACTGAGAAAAAAGAGATCCATAATCATCTTCATTTTCTGTAGATAAATATTTGCTAGGGTTGTTGCTAATGAAGTTCTTTTCTTTGTCTTCTTGTTCATCACTGCTGTCTGCATGTTTGAATTCATCTTGTTCTGTCTTTATATCCATTCTTTCTAGAGTACAGTTAATGCCATCTTCCTCTTGTTCTACTTTCAAGTTATTGATTTTTCCCAAGATGAAATTACCATCCATGATGGGGGAACCTGATTTACTGTTTTCCATGGCTGACAAATTCCTCTTGCCAAGTCTTCATTTATTAATAAATACAGATAATTTAAAAGATTATGTAAAATTTGATTAAAACGATGTATCTTGTATACTGAATGCACAAACACAAATCTACGTGTTAAAATAATCTCTGGTTTATGAATTCTGTATCCGTGTTGTGTGGACGCAAAAATGATTAGTCATAAGGATGCATTAAGAAATTATAGACTTAATTAATGGAATCTCATCTTTTTCCCCAGGATCAGGACATTTCAGGTCATAGATGAACATTCTCAAAGGCAGCTTCTGTTGAATGCTTCATGTTGTAGATATCATCCTAAAAATCGAATCTTCTGTTTTCTTGGTCAAGGAAGCCATTCTATTCATCTCGATTGGACAACTGTGATTCTTCTGCACCATCTAGAAAAGAAAAAATTAGATGACAAATGCTGATTGACACATTCTGAATAATTAGTAAGCAATGTGAATTATGAACATGCAATAGGTGTTCTGTATTTTTTCCCCACTTTCTTTAAGGTAAAAATAATTCAGTCAAGTGCTATTCCCTTTCTCCCCCTTAAAACAAAAACAAGACCATACACTTACTCAATGCATCTATTTACATTGAGCAATACGGGGCAAATACAGACCTACGCACTCAGCTCTGATTAAGCATTGTAAAAATCTACAGTCCACAGCTGCTTTTGTGTTTGTTTCTACATATATACACCTCACCATGCATCCTAATTCAACTACTGCATAGTCATACATACACAAATCCATACAGCTACCTATATCTACAGACATTTATGAAGACAAGCAGGCATTTAGTCACGTTAGCAGAGAAATATGCACTTAAATGCAAACATAAAGCTATTCTTTGTCAGAAAAGCAAAAATCCCCACCAGCCCTACACAAACCTGAAGATGTCTGCATCTGTCAGCCACTCCTTGTTTTGAATTTTTATTTTTCCTACATTTATATCCGAATTCTAAATTTTGCCAAATCCTTTCTTTTCTTTTGTATCACTAGTGTAGTTATTAGTATCTTTGTTACCATCAAAAAACATTTTTTAACCAGAGAGCTGATGCTACACTATCCAATTTTCCAATTTGTGCTGAACTGATTTTATGGAACTTTTCTCTCAAGATAAAACACACAAATTTGAATTTATCACACAATTTTTATGTTACTCAAATGAGGATTTGAGCAGACAAAAGGTGAAATTAGTCACAGCTACAAGATACATACATAGGTTGAGGTTGTATACACAGGCATTTCTTTTGCATCTAGACAAACAAGATAGTAGCTTTGTGTGGTTCTAATTGTTCTCTGTCTACAGTTGGCTTGCAAGAGAGGTTAAACAGAACAGCAAACAACTAGCTTTCCCTGGATTTCAGACTTCTTTAAAACATACTGTAGTGATAACTTCTCTTTTTTTTTTTTTTTTACTGGAGCAGAAGAAGCAGATAAAAGGACAATCAGCTTATTACCGCTATTGAAAGACAAGGGAGACAGAGCCATCAACATTTTACAAAGAGGAAGGCAGCCACTCTGCTCTTTGTTTCTGTAGAAGTTTTAGTATTTGTGTTTTCTTTCTCCTTCTCAAAGGGAGGAAAAAAAAAAAAAAGAAAAAAAAAAAAAGAAAAAAAAAAAAAAAGAAAAAAAAAAGAAAAAAAAAAAAGAAAAAAAAAAGAAAAAAAAAAGAAAAAAAAAAAGAAGAAAAAAAAAAAGAAAAAAAAAAGAAAAAAAAAAGAAAAAAAAAATACTTTCAGACACCCAGACACCAGAAGAGAACTCCAGAATGAAAAGAAAGAGCCTTACATTTCCATGAGCTGATTCACTAACACACTGCCCAGTGCTTTCCACGGGTTTGTGAAATCAGGTCCAGCAGCAGAGACTAAATTTACAGCCCTCAATATAACACTGAATGAAATGGAAGTTAGCAATCACACCCATATTGATGATATGGAAGCACATACATCTGGGATGAGGATGAGAGCGTAAGACAGTCAACATTTTGAACAGAAGTCAATCAAATAGGATTTTTAAATTCTTAATGTGAATTTTGATCTTATTTTTGAGTGTGGAATTAATACTGCAAACATGCAAAAGCATGAATATTTAGTGAATTATTGTAAATGGGATCATGGAATAGAAAGTCTCGCAAATATTCCACACAGACTTTAGAGAATATAAATTATGCATCTAAGTGCCAAGCTACAGTAAGCGCATTACAAATTCTTAGCTGGATTCACATATAATGCAAATACCCATCAGCAACAGCTTCTGATGAAAACAATTTCTTCATCTCAAAATAGGTAACCACAGTTCTAGCTTGTAACTCTTAACTTCTTTCGCATTAGGGAGAAAAAAAATAAAGAAAAAGAAAATAAAAACCACTCGCAAACACAAACCAAATACAAACATCAAGGCAAAAAAATAAAAAGACAGTTCTAGGCTCTTGTAGGAAAAAAAAATCCATGCAGATGTTGCACTTGTGCTTGCCCCAATAACCACTTCTTAAAGCAGCTGAACTTAAGGTTGCTGAGATGGGAAGATAAAGGAGCCCAACTGCAAACTTCCTAACAAGACCTTACTAGATCGATGTTCATTAACAATATACATTGGCAATGGTTAGTTCTTAATCACTACTATTCATTATCACCATATATTCAAATAGGTCCTAATCATTTTATCCTAAATTACCTTTCGGTACAAGATACCACTGAGCAGAAGCCAGGCAGTTAAACACTGATGACTGTGTTCCTTGATGGTCCCAGTTCAAGTTGAGGTGAATAGATGAGAGTTAGCCTTGAACAAGGAACTGCAGTTGTAGACCTTCTTCCCTATTTTTCCTTGCTGTGCTTTTGATGCTTGTCATCAACTCTACCAAAAAAAAAAAAAAAAAAAAAAAAAAAAAAAAGGCGTGGGAAGTAATCTCATCTGCTCCTGACATGATTATCTCATTTTCTTTAGGACCAGAAACTGTTCTGGTTCCACCAGAAATGCTTCCTGCTTATTCAGTATCCTTTGTTTTAACTTGCAGATTTTCATTCTTCAATTGTTGATTCACATGTTTTTCTGTCCCCTATTTGTGCAATTAACATACATCTCCCTTTGCAACTGCATACTATTTCTGTACTCATGCTTAGCATTAGTAGGGGGGCTATGCTACCAGCAGTGTTATTAATTACGCTATTTTATTTATAACTGAGTTTAAGGCAAGAAAACACATTCAGTCTATTTGATAGGCGTCCATGGTTCCCAAGAAATTTCAGAAGTTGGATGCTCCTTGTAAGACTTTGCATGTCATTTTTTCAATTTTCTTTTAAACATTCAAGTCTGATCTCTATTACATTGAGTTTTACCATGTCAGGCTGTAAAATTAAGTTGAATTCTCTCTCCTTTAGCACCCCTGAGGGTGAAAAGGAAATTTTCGTTAGAACGTAGTCCTCAACATGTGTAGGTTTAGAAAGAGAGAGATATTTTTAATCTCTGCCTCCCAGGCCAACTCCTTGCAAGAATCAATTGGTTTTAAAAACAAATAGAATACACCATCCAATTTTACAATTTTATGGTACCCTAGAACAAATTATGAATTTCCTTATGACCACCTAAAGTAGCTACAATTCTATTAATTGAGCCTTCTTGCAAATTAAAAAAAACAAACAAACAAAAAAAAAAAACAAAAAAAAAACATCTTCAAGGAAAAAGAAAATAAAGTAGAGAGCAATTATCTACTCAAATCCACTTTTGGACTATTAGACCCTAAATGGCAGTAGAGAACCAGTGGCTTGCTGTGGTCAGAAGCCTGCAGAAACATTTTTATAGGATTTTCCATTCAAAATCGGATTACTGAGAGTGTGCAGTGGTTGATGAGAAATGTCAGGAGAACATCACTGATCCAACGAGTGACACAGCAGACTGCTGTGACCTGAAGAACTCAGGATGAATAAGGTAAAGGAGAGAAATATCAGTGTTCTGGGGTTCTGCTGACATGTATTACCTTACAGAGAAGTATGAAAAGCACGCAGGAACACTGAATCATGAGCAGATTATTTGTTTCTAAAACAGAGAGTGTCCTGCAAGTTTTAAACAATTTAAAATTTTAGCTTGGGTAGTCAGGTGATAATCAAGGAATTGATTATATTATAGAACCTAACTGCAAAATTAACAAATCTGAATCTAACTAGAGAAATCAGAGCTACAAAGTTTAAGTTATTCACCGTGCACATATCTGCAAAATGCAAGAGTAAGTGGTTTAAAGAAAGATGTACAATATGGACGTAAAGTGAAAGCAAAACTGTTTACTAGTTTCAAGAATCAAAAGTAGTGACAGATTTTGTGAGTAGGAAGTAGATAAATACCCATTAAAAACAAATTGCACAAACATTTGCACAAATGGATGTTGGTTTAGAATGACTAGTGCTAATCTTGTTTATTTTTGAAATTCTACAGGCATCATTAACAGCATCAAGTGCAAAGAAAATGCTTACAATTATACAAGCAATGAGAAAGACACATTTTAAGAAATTATTATTAGCTCCCACTTCAATGGCAGGTACCATGCTAATTAAGTAATATTTTCTTGAAAAATAACACCATACCAAAAAACTGTAAAAATTAACAAATCCTGATGAAGGGATAGCCTAGAGAAACTTTACTCAATTTCACAAACTTCTCAAAGTAGCAAAATTAAGAACAGTAACAGATTTTTTTCTATAGAGACTTACTTTGACAAGGTGTTGGCTTGGCAGTATAGATCTAGAGAAGCTTGCAAGATACTGAGTGATTAGATGAGGCATTAGAAGAGACATCAACATTAGCATGTTAGTTACATTCTGCCAGGATGTGGGTCCTATGCTTAGGTCTCACTGAAGTTCACAGGAACCTGCACAGACATACAAGCATGAACTAATGGATGTAACTATATAATTGGGATCAAAGTAGAGAAAGTTAGGCTTAATGAAAGAAACAAGTTGTTCTGGACCTCACGGAAAGTATGACTTGTGGAGATCAGTTGGGAGAGAAAAAAGGGTAAAGCTGTCTTTACTATTCCATTACCTTTCCAGACACCTGAAAGCCAGAGCTACAGCTATTTCCTTTAATCCTGAATGTCTATGAGTTGTAGTCCACGTTACATTAACCCATAATTTCTGCAGTTTTGAAAAGGTATTCTCTCCAGTTTGCAAAATACCCTCTTATGTCTGCAACCCCAAGGGCCTCATCTGGACACAAGAGATTGAATGATGGAAACAGCACCATCAATGCTGCATGCTGCTCTTTGTTGATAGGAATAATCTTCACCCAAACTTCATACTGGGACAGAATATAACAATTAGGACAATTGCTAACCGTATCCAGGGTTGCATCAAGAAAAGTGTGGCCAGTAGGGACAGGGAGGTGATTCTGCCCCTCTAATCTGCTCTTGTGAAACCCCACCTGGAGTACTGTGTCCAGCTCTGGGGCCCTCAATGCAAGGACATGGAGTTGTTGGAGCAGATTCAGAGGAGAGCCATAAAGATGATCAGAAGGCTGGAGCACCTCCCCTCTGAGGACAGGCTGAGAGAAGTGGCGCTCTTCAGCCTGGAGAAGAGGAGGCTTTGGGGGGATTCTATAGCAGCCTTCCAGTACCTGAAGGGGCCTACAGGAAAGCTGGGGAGGGAGTTTTAAGAAGGGCATGTAGTGAGAGGATGAGGATAAGCGGCTTCAAAGTGGAAGAGGGTAGATTTAGACTAAATATTAGGAAGAAATTCTTTACTGTGTGGGTGGTGACACACTGGCTCAGGTTGCCCAGTGAGATTGTGGATGCCCCCTCCCTGGAAGCATTCAAGGACAGGTTGGTAAGCAACTTGGTCTAGAGGGAGGTGTCCCTGCCTACAGCAGGGGGACTGGAAATAGATCCTTTCCAATCAAAATCATTCTATGATTCTATGAAATAGTAGTTTCTAGGTTTCTCTTGTTCAGCCACAAGCTCCTAGTCTAAATTTCTCCCAGTATGACCCCTCCCAGGTAAGAAGGAGCTTTTCTTTCCGTCTTTCTTTTCTTTTTAATCTATTCCAAATGAGTTTTATAGAGTTGTCCTTACTATGTCTTACATCCATTGAGTCCCTAACTACTCCTGACATGATTCTATAAAGGAGGGGAAAAAAAAAAAAAAAAAAAAAAGGAAAGGAAAAAAGGCTTTTGTAATTATTTTTAAGATTCTATTTTAGACTGATACAAACATTTTGGTAGAGAAAAATCCTACAATACCCTAGGGGACATCTAGTTTAGTATGTCTGCACATACAAGAAAAGACTACAAGTTAGTGGGGGGTGGGAATAAAATAATAAAAAAACAACAACATGGTATTCCAGAAACTCTTAGCCCACAGTATTTCAAACAATTTACTTAAAAGAAAAATAAAAACAAACAGCCAAAACTAACCACAACAAAATACAAGTTCAATCTCAGACACACCAATTGCATTTCAAATGACACGGAAAAAGTAAAGAAATGCCACCATGTTGTATGTAACAACATACACTATCCATCACCACACACAGTAATATATTTACACCTATAACTACCTGATAAGCCTTTAATTGTTGACAGTTTTTCTTTCCTGGTGCACTAAAAATACCATCACACCTCAAAAGTGGTTAACTTCCTTCACACATCCTTTGCTAACTTCCCATAGCTGCAAGCTATTAAAAAAAAAAAAAAAAAAGCAGGCTGTACATATGCTAATCATTTCTGTCACAGGTTTTACTGAGAGACTGCTCATAAAAAAAAAAAAAAACAGATTTGTTGTGGTAAGTAAGTTATGTCAATATTTGTCTATGATCCAAACCGTCTCTTCAGAGTTGAAGAACCTTCTTCCTCATTATCTGGTGCAATGCTACCAAAGCAATACTTTCAGGATCTCTTTCTATGCTATTGTTCACACCCACCAAGTGGCAGATCTGCCTCTCATTTGTAAAAATGCTGATTCTTTAAGCAATTACTTGAATAAACTTTAAGTAGGATTGTTGTAAATCGTACACATCAGTTGAATGTTGCTCCAAGAAAAGATAAAAAACTAGGAAGATTTTAGATGCCTTTGGACATTTTTACCATTAGCATTTTTGTATTACATGCTAAAAAAAATAAGGGCTTATTCTCAGAAATGCTGGAAGAGAGAAAGCAGTTTTACTAAGGAAAAAAACCTAAAACAAATGAAGTATGTACTGTTTTGATATCCTGCCTTAAATAATTCTATAGACCAAACTGCTTTTGGTATCTCATGCTGCACAGTTTGGGGCTAAGGGAAGGGAAGTGTTCTAAAAACAAAATAGGAGGCTAAAATTCAAAGATAAAAATAAGAACAGAAGTATGGAAACATGCATCAATATTATCATGGAACAGGAAATAAAACACAACCAAGAACACAGGAACAAGAGATAAGTTCTGAAAGAATTAGAGATGAAAGACACAATATTTATTCCATGCTGCTACAGAACAGCAATCAGGGTTCAGAAAAGTGTCAGAAAACTCGAAGCAAAGCTCCTCTGACACTTCTCCCCAAGTGATGAATCCCTCTGCTTAGCCCATGGGCTCTTCTCTTCCTCCTATGCAGAGTACAGCTCAAGTACAAATAAGTTATGAGTTGTTTGTTTGTGTTTTCTCTCTCGATGAGTCCAACGAACAGATACTGCTGTAACTTTCTTTAAATTAAAAAAAAAAAAAAAAAAAAAAAAGTTGCTAATCTTTAAGCTCAGCAAGAATGAAACCTCAAGAATTTTTAGGGCTTTTCCAAAGAGTTAAAAGTGAGAAATCTGTAAAGGAGAAAAAGGGGGTTCTCAGCTCTTCTCAGGTAGACAGAGAATGAGAAGAGCGTTAGGAGACTCACACCACACCTACTGAGACTTCCTGGGACTCTTGCTGTAAACATCCACAGAAGTACTGCAAGAAAAAGGCCTCACAAAACCTAAATAGGATCTTTTATAGAATATAGCACATAATATTAAAATGCTTGAACTTTTTATATTAAAAAAAAAAAAAAAAAAAAAAAAAAAGAAAAAGTATCTTTTGAACTGCTAAGATTATCATGAATATCTGCCTGGACCTGCCTGGATGCCTACCTGTGCAACCTGCTGTAGGGAACCTGCTTTGGCAGGGGGGTTGGACTCGATGATCTCTGGAGGTCCCTTCCAACCCCTACAATTCTGTGATATCTCTAACAAAGATCAGGTATAAAGAGGTCTGCTTTAAAAACGCTTCATAACCACCCCACTAAACGTAACTTTGTGTTCACATTAATGCCATCTTGCCACTGCCTCAGAGAGTGAACTCGGAGAGCTTCACTTGTGCTAATTTGAGATTTTCCATCCTACCCATATACATGTAATAAGATACAGTACTGTACGTTTATAGCAAACAGTTGAGCCCTGGAATTGCAATCCTGTGCACATCAAGGCAGGTTAGAAGGAGAACACAATTCATAGTCCCTGAAGATCTGAAGTATCACAGAATGGCCTGGGTTAAAATGGACCACAATGATCATCTAGTTTCAACCTCCCTGCTATGTGCAGGGTCACCAACCACCAGACCAGGCTGCCCAGAGCCACATCCAGGCTGGCCTTGAATGCCTCCAGGGATGGGGCATCCACAGCCTCCTTGGGCAACCTGTTCCAGTGTGTCACCACCCTCTGTGTGAAAAATATCCTTCTGTTTTTCACTTGAAGCAAAGAAAAGACCACCTCAGATACTTTTAAGAAGCTTTGAAATACACTTTTACAATGCCAAGGAGCACAAGAACAGGAACAAGGTTCCATAACACGTGCAAGTACAATCAGCCATACCCATAATGGAGTGAACTCTTCAATACCATTCTTAAGTTTTGGGTTTTTTTTTGCACTTCTTGAGTAAATTCTATGTTCATCAGCAACATCCAACATGTTGCTGACATCCTATTCTAAGAATCAATAACCTCAAAGCTGCTCCTAGTATCTATGACAAAGGGTCTTTTCCCCGTTCACCTCTCTGTGGGACATGTTCTCTCTGCCTTTTCCAGACAAGGTGAGACTGTGCAGCAAAGGCACAGCTGACACAGCCATGGCAGCCAGGAAAGCTGGCATTGTTTCCACTAGCATCACATTGAGCATTAGCAGGAAATCCAAAACAGACACTCCTGTCTCTGGCAAACAAATAGCTCAGTCTTCTTCTCTCTAAATAAATGGTTTATAGGAAAGCCATACTGTTGTTGTAGACATGAGTTCTAATTTAAGCAAATAGAATTTTGCGCAAGGAGATAATGAAAAATGCAATTTTAATTTAAAAGGAAGTTTTTTGGAGAACCTATCCTAACCAAAGCAAAGCTTTAATTTTTGTAACGCAACTTATAATTTAAGTAAGTTTTTACAGAATAAGGATGCATGGATTTTTTTTCAGAGTATGAGCTAAGACATTTTTAGTACAAGATTAAGTAAAGAAAAGGATTAGCCGCTGCTGTTCCCACTTGCTTGATTTCTATAATTACACAATAAAACAAATATTTTGTGATGTATAGAAAACGGAAATTAATAGAAACATTTAGAGAAAGAGGAAGGATGAGGACTTGATCTTCATGAGTACCACTGTATTTCCTGGCCTAAACAGATTACAGTCTCCCCCACAACACAGTAAGCCTCAGAGAATGAACTCCACACCATTATGAAGGGAAAATAAAGCAATTGCAACTCCCCCAAATGCCCAGTGTCAAATGCAAGCATGCCGCCATCAGTACGGTCTGCACCCTGTGTGGCTCCCTGAAATCTGGCCCATTCTGCTGCTTAAGCGGCTACTAACACACATCTCAACAAGCAAAAACCTCCCATGCAGTGAGAATCTTCCCATTTTTTTTTTGTCTGTGGATCACTGTTATCAGCATATCGTGTTCCCATCTTTAATACACAAGAAGGAAGGAGAACCACAGAATAAAAGCAGAAAGTAGAAGACAATTGCCATCATCTGCATTGGATTTCAGCATGGCTTTGTAGTCCCACAACTTAAATAAAAGGCTGCCAGAAGCTGTGAGCGAAGAGTCTGTGGAAGCACTAAACAGGTAGTAGTTCAGTGCTGCCCTTTCTAGCTTTTCATGACACACCAAGAGATCGATCGGATCCCTGGAACTTAAGATCTAGTTCCTGATTATCTAAACTGCGTATAATGCAAGTTCAAAGGCTTTAATCCTCATGCTGAACTTTAAAGGACGTTGACCTATCGTATTTCCAATCTACTGACAGCTTAATATTTCCATCTTCTGAAACTTTTCAGCTCTGAATACATATCCATTACCAAAAGAGTGCCCAGTGAATCACTAATGAAGGAAGCATGACAAATGGAAGGAACATTTGCAAAATGCTAGCTCTTCAGGCCATGCTACTCAGCTCTATGAACCAGCATGCAACAATTTGTGCATTCACAGTACAGTGCAATCTATAGTGGCGAATGTATTTCATTCTGCATACTGATACACTGAAACATACAGGGAAAACAAAGCTAGTCTTCAACTATCATACAGCAAGGAGAAATTTTTTAAGTGCAAGCTAAATTTGATAGTCCTTTGCAGCCCAGCACTTTGCAGAAAAGCAATCCCCAGCAAGAAATAGTATTACACACTATTGCCAGGAATTGGGCTCACATGAACCTCACAGGTCCCTTCCAGTTCTGCATATTCTATGATTTTATATGATATATTATTCGTATTTCACACTCCCCAAAATAAACATGTAAATATGGTTGTGTTTTATAAAATATTAATAAAATAGTTAAAGAAAAAAGAAAAAAATATGAATTTTGCAGAAGCACACACACATCAGTACACAAGTAATAAAATATATGTATTTTTCTATTGGAGCTCGTGTTGGCACTAAACACTTAAAGATTTTGCTGTCAACCAGAACAATCCAAACTGCCGTCAACACTTGTATCATCTGGATTGTAATAAAAACAAAGTTATTGAAGATACTAACACAAGATATTCATTTTTAGTCGACAGATAATAGAATGGATATTTTCGTTGGAGGGTTTTAGCCTTGAGAACCACTTTAGGTAGAACTATAAAAATCTAGAGTGCTTGACATCACACAATGAAACAGAACAAAGTGATCCTTAGGTGAGCGTAATTCAGCATCAAATATGAGTGAACTTCTAAATATTCTGTGAAACGCAACATCATCCCTTCTCTAAGATTCCTTTACAGTGATCAAGAATTGACTCAACAGGCTGCTGCAATCGATGACTGCTCTTTCCAGTTCTTTGGCTATGCTATGGACTTCGAAAGCACCAACAATTACTTTTGCGTACACTCTTGACAAATAAACATCCACAAGCAGTCTTAGTACATAACAAAATCCTCCACATATTCTGCGTGTACAATCTAGGAAAGCTTTCCCTGAAGAAATGAATCTGAATCATGTTTTTATTCTACTTTCCTCTGGAGGTTAGTCTTACATGACTCCACCAAGACTTCTTTGCTCAGCATTTTACCTCTTAAACTTTTTGTCCACGCTAAAATGCATGTCAGCAAATCACATAGCCAAAGCTGAACTGTTTTTATTGGAGGAGAAATGGGGAGGAGTAGCACTATCTGAAACACTATACAAAAATAACAGTGTTAATCTACACATAATTGTTAATCTTCATATATTTTTAAGCATGAAATTGATTTTACACTTCCAAAAATCTGTAACCACAACTCAAACTGAATGTATAAGCAAAAGAATTGTTTCAGACAAAAACCTTAGAAGAAAATACTTAAGTTTACTCTGATCAGTGAGAATGCAAAACCAAAACAAAAAAAAACCCTCGAATGAGGCAATTGTACTTGGGGCATGGGATGAATGCAGAGCATGCAAGTTACTTCCCTCTTTTTCAGAAGGTAAACTGCAGAGTGAGGATGTATATATGTCAGCTGTTACCACAGAGTAGGAGGTGCACCATAAATCATACGCCAGTTACTATTAATGTAACACTGTAAAGATATCCAGGCTTACAATGTTAATTTTTAAATCTCAGACACTCACACAAACCTCCTGCTAAATTACTCAGCTCCACACAAGCCGATTCAAATACATAATTTTTCATTTATAGATAAATGAATCTTTTTCATAGATAAGCCCCTTATCTATTGTCTAAGTCTAAATTAATACTAACAACAATAAAGTAAGACCCTAAGCAAACAAGCAAGCTATCCACTAACTAATAAACAAGGGAAAAAAAAAAAAAAAACAATGAAACTTACATATCTGTTCTGCTGCATGCAGGAAGCTTCATTTGAGGTTAAATACTTGTTACTCAAACTTAAAGATGATTGTATCTAAGGAAAAGAAGAAAGTAATTCCTTTTAAATAGAACTTTTTAGTCACATCATCTGTTATAGCAGCGAGTCCTGGGACATTTCAAATTTCTCTTTAGATCATAGCTCCAGGAGCTGTATTCATGAAAACTTGGGATTTTGAAAAAAGAAACAAAAAAAGGGGGTGGGGGCCTTATTTAGTCACACAAGTGTCAGGAAAAAAATAGGTGTTTTCAATACTAGAGCCTCAAAACAAAAAACAGCAAAACCAAAAATGAAAACGCAAAACCATTAAAAGATATTTTTTGTACATGCCTTGATGGTCCATGGATTCTTTTTCCACTTAGGAGTGACAATATGCCATTTTAGTCTCCAAAATGAAGCCAATGCAACAAACTCACTTCTCACCAAAGTAGTCTGCACTACATTACAACAGCTCAAGGGAGCCTGTCAGCACCTTTTAATGCACTACAGGATTCACCTGGAAGCTTCTGCTTCCCTTCCTGAGCCGAATGTATTGCTTACACACTGCACCTAGCATGGCTTTTAACTAACATGTGATAACATAGGATAAGTGCAAGATTATCATTCCCTACATACAAGAAAGGAATGATTACAAGCAGAGTGTATTAAGCCAAAATTTTGGCAAGGCACCAAAAAAACAGCAAAATGGTCCATCACAGGGCATATTTCTCTAGCCCCACAGACCACACAGACACAAGCTTCACAGTGAAGAGTCCCTGGCTGTTTCACTGCCCCAATATATTAAAAAACGAAACAAAAGCCACCAGAACACCAGCAAGGTATCTTGTGCAATCTCAGAAAATCCAGTACACATCATTGTCTACTCCAAACCCGAATGCAAATTAATAATTAAATAAGAATTTTAAAAAGCTGAATTCTGCAGTGCTTAATGGATGAGGCGTCATCCTCTTATGAAGATTTGGACCAAGCGCCAACAGGGCTGCATCTTTCCCAGCAATCAGTGCTTACTGCACATTAGACTGTGAATCAATTGTGTAAAATACACGTATTTTTTGAGAATCTCCTTTTGAGAAGGAAAATCCTGGTTGCATGCCTCCCATACATCAGCAGATGTATTACGTGAAAGGTCTTTTACTGATATTTGCATTTAAAAATAGATCCATACTCTCTGTTCAGCAAGTAAGAACATCTCCCAAACTCTGTGCCTGCTAACTTGACTGCTGAGACCTTCTGCTGTCCCTTCTATAAGGTGACACTTACATGCACAAAGCAGAAGGTGACAGCAAGGTGAGCAGACCCACCCCATTCCCATGGCTCCCAGCTCCTTAGGGAGCTCTGGGAGATGTGGATTCAGGTCCTGGGGCAGGGAGGGGAAGCAAACCTGGCTCTCCCACATTCCTTGCAATTCCAGAGCCATCAGACTACAGGCAAGAAAGGGTACGAATGCACCATCTTCACCCTTCCTGGTGTCTAAGAAAAAAAAAAAAAACAAACACAAAACAAACAGCAACTTCAATTCTTGTTCTTTCATTCATTAATGATGATTGCAAAACAGTTTCAGGCTGGGCCAAACATTTCATTCAAAACAAGTTGATGTTTGGGTTCTCATGATTGTTTCTTTTAGTGAAAATTACAAAGAAAAATGTCACTTTAAATGCATCTAATCTTTTCTTTAGAGGCAAGAACAAATTCAGGAGAGCACATACAGCAGAAAATCAGAGCAACTGAATAGAAATGACTCCACTGCATGGAAGGAAGAATACACCTGTGGGGCAGAAGTGACGACAAACTAGCAAACAGGATATGGAAAATGAGAGATCCAGACAGTTTTCAAACAGCCATAAAAATGAGGTACTAATTCTTCAGTGAATGATAGTTCAGCCCTACATGTTATTACAAAGCAAACTGGGAGGGGGAAGAGGACAGAGATAGGGAGCAGCAATGGCCAAAGCTCACTGCTTGCGAGTTTAAATAAAGATTATGGTAATGCTGTAATATTTCCTATGGCAACACATGCTGAAAGTTAATACTACATAAGTTATAGAGAAGGCTAATAGAGAAGGCTAATATCGCTCCCTCCAATGTGTGTTCAGTATAAAAAAAAAAAGTAATTTGTTCTGAATGATTACACTTGAACACAAACAAGGCCCTTAAGAACCAAGGTCTTTCCCCACTGTTATTTTAACAGTCTATCACATTACACTCTGTCTCATCACAAAAACAGCAAACAAAACTCTGCTACCACACATTTAAAATATTTATCACAATGTAATTCTGGATAGCAGTTTCTATGCTTTGAAAAAAAATGATAAAAGCTTTAGTTCTTCTTGTGTGTGCTCTACACTCCATATTTCACATAAAAGCTATCTTCAGGTTATGAGAACGACTCCGTTTTTTCAATAATTGGTTGAAATTAAACAATCTCACAGTTCAGAACTGTTGGCAGTTATTGATGATGCTTGCAGCAAATACAGAGCAAGTAGGCAGAGCTGAACAGAAAACAGTGTCCACTTGCCAGATGCAAGAGAACACCTTTTTGTGAAGCCCATTTGAAAAGTGTATGCTAGAACAGAAAATACTATGCAAATCACATTCATTTATGCCGATATTAATAAAAATAGCCAAACTATCCATATTTAAGAAAAAAAAATAAGCGTTTAAACTTGATGATGAATTACACATTATGAACACTATGGCCCACACTGTGCAAAACCCCATCTAAACTATGAATAAGAGTGTTTTCTGTCTGAAAATAAGCTAATGTGCATGTGTAATCTCACCTATCTGCATAAAGCAGATTATTTTAACTGCACATTACACCAGCAAGCCCTTCATGCTCATTTGGAAGTTGAGAACTTGTGCAAATTAAAAGCAAGCTACAGAAAACAGGACTTAGAAAATCTGCTCTGATGAAGACTCCATGTCAGAGTAGTAAAACACGGCAAAGTGTTGGGAGATACGACCCAAAACATCCACATTAATTCTTGATTTAAACTTTCTCAGAGCCACAAAGAAATCTCACAGAATTTACCATGGTTAGGGTTGTGCAAAATTAGAATAAAACAGCTTCCAAGAAAAAGGATAGGAAAAGAAGAGATACAGCACACTCAAAAGCCATGTAAAGCAGCAGTTATTCTTAATGATCCAGGATTTTGTCAGGACTTCCTCTGGTAACACCTTGTTCTTAAGAATCACTGATAGACATGATGGTATCATTTACTCCATGTAATGCATAAAGCTAAGATGGAGACAATTTCAAATAAACACCTGTGGAGTTCAGTTGCTTTCTTATTTCCAAGTGATAAGCCTTGATGATATACCACATGCACTTAGCCCCATTCTGCACTCCACCACAATCCCACACCACGAGCCCTTCTGCAAACACGATGCTTGCTCAGAATGCCTGCAACCAGTGCAGGCTCAATTAAGAAGAGTCAAAACAGCCTAACAGAAGCTAACAGAGGCTGCACACAGTGGGTACTAAGAGCTCAGCACTGCCCCTAAGCTCAGCCAGTACCTGCTCAGCCCTCCACTGCTGCAGGCTGACTTCCACCTTCACAGTGGAACCTATAACAATTGCGCTTCATACAGCGTACCAGCAAACGTGTTACAGTTGTCAAAAAGCACAAATGCGTAGGGAACACATGTCTCAGAGAGGTGCAGTCGAGCTATTTCATTTACTTTTGTTTTTCTTATTCTCTATCAATTTTTTAACTCCAGAGAACTTCTACACTGTCAATCCCAGCACTTGTTAGGAAAATGCAGATGGCTAAATCTGAAAGGACAGAGACATCCACACACAAGAGCATGCTGTACCTCAAGTCCCAGTCCATCCTGTCCCCAGCAGACAATACCGGCATTTCCAGGAGTCCACAAAAGAACTCCTGCTGCTTTTGCTAGCAATGTATTCTTTTTTCCCTCAAACTAAATTTCATAGCACATAATAACCAGAAAGCCCCCACTCAGTACCTGTGCGAGCCTTCCAACAGCAGCCTGGTGTCCTGGGGACAGTCAGTGACATATTGGGTGCTCTGCTGCCCCCAGCATGCACCCCACAAACACCATCCTGAGGATACCTGGCTTGTTTTAAGGCAGACACCAAATTCTTGAAAAACCCTGTAAAGGAAAATAACCGTGTTCCCTCTCTTAAAAAGCAAAACTCTTAAAACTCTCTCTTAAAAAGCAAAGTGCACGATGGGCCATATGGAAAGCACGGCCCGAGAAGCCTGCTTGTGATATGGGGACTCAGAAACCTGTCTCTGCTTGGGTTGACAGTTGCAGTGTGACAGCTCATGCTGAATTTCTGACATCTCCCAGAGATACCTCCGAAACACGGCACAGCAGTCTCTGACACAGAGCACCGAGGAAGAACAGGGAGAGCCAAACACTGCTGAACCTCACAGTAATGTACTGAGCATCACTAAAGCAAAATGGGTTCTCTGAATGCTGTGACTTCCCTAGCATTAAGAAACTCTTCCACACTTATAGCAGAGTGCATGTGCAGCACAGGGAGCACACGACACCCTCCAAACTCCGTGAGCACTGCAATACAGCCGGCGGCTGCTGTCAGCACTGCCTCGGAGCAGACCTGGAAGTTACAGAAGACATCTTTAAGCGAAACCACGGCGTCCGAAGTGAGAATGAGAAGAGCGAGCGTTGAAGTAGAGCCGCGCACTTTCTCCACGCGTACCAACAGCGGCTCTGCCTAAGGAGGACGGGGCTGGGAGCCCCGCACGGCGCAGGAAGAGATGCGCCGCGGCTGAGGTCACCTCCCCCGTCCCCTCGTGTACCGGAGAAACGCTTTCAGGACCACCCGGCCCTCCTGGCCCCTCCGCGCAGCCCGGGCTCTACTCCGCGCTCCCGCAGGGGCTGCCCCCGCCCCGGAGGCCATCTGGGACGGGGCCGACGGCGGCCACATGGTCCCGGCGCCTCCCATCCCCACCGGGGCCCGGCTCCCGCGGCCTCCCGCAGGGCCGGGCCAGGTGGGAGGGGTGCCTCCGACCCGGCAGGCCCGCACAAAGCCCGACGGCTCCGCGGGGACCCCGGGTCGGGCGGGGGGGCGGCACGGCCCTGCGGCTCCCCAGGGAGCGACGCCCCCCTCCGCAGCCCGGCCCGCCGGAGCCCCCTCCCAGGGCCCCGCAGACAATGGAGCCCGCACCGCCGGCCTACTCCCCGCTTCCTGCCCGCCGCACGCCCCCTGCCCGACCTGCCGCCGCTGTCCCGCGGGCGCTCCCGGGCGGGACGGGGCGCTATCGGGCCCGGGGCGCGGGGCCGCGGCCCGGAGGCACCGGCGCCGCGGAGGCACAGAGCGAGCGGCGGCGGGCGGCGGGGCGGGGAGAGCCGGAGCGCCCTGCCCTGCCCGGCCCCTTCCCGGTGCCGGAACGGGGCCACTCACCTCCCCGGGCGGCCGCCGCAGGGAAAGCCGGAGGTCGCCGCTGCCGCCGCCGCCCGGCCGGGCCCGAAGGAGTTAAAAGGAAGGGCCGGGCGGGCCCGTCCCATTCATTAGCTGGGCGCTTTGTCTCCAGCCGCCGCCGCCGCCGCCGCGGCGCTGAGCAGGCTGCCCCGGCTCGGCCGCCACAGGGCGCGCTGCGCAGGCGCCAGGCGCGGGGGGCGGCCCCGCAACCGTCGAGCGGCGGCACGCACGACGCACAACATGTCATCCGCCGGGCCGCAAAATGGCTGCCCCCGGGGCTGCGGCGGGCGACTGCGCCATCGGGATTTGGGCAGCGGGATGCGGCCTTCTTCTCTGGGTCCCTAGGGGCGGCTGTGGCTCTAAAGGTGTCTCGGGATCGAGGCCGGACGGGAGTTGTCGGGGCTGCGCCTCGTCCCAGCTCCCTGCTGAGGCAGCCGGAGCTTCGCAGCTCGGTCCGCGGTGGCCGCGGCGGGACTCGGACCCGCTGCAGGCCCGGCCGGGTGGGCGGCTCCGCCACACGCCGAGCGGGTGGGCGCCGCTGACCTGAGCGGCGTTCTCTCCTGTATCGGGGGATTCGATGGCTGTTGTGTATGTTTGTTTATTAAGATCGCGTATTTGTGGTCTAATAGCCTTCGAGCATTTGGCTCTGCGTAGCTGTGTGTAGCTCTGCCTGCTGCCCGCTACCTGCTTTAGGGCGCCTCACGACGTTTGGATGGGATCACCCCCGTAGCACGGGGAGAGCTGCTCCGGGTCAGGGCTGTGCGCTGTCTGTTCCAGCTGAGCAGCGGTACTCTACGTGCTTGCCATCTGGGCGTTCTCCTGGGTAACGCCCTGCCGCTGCCCTCCTGCCCGAGGAGAGCTGCTCATGCCGTGAGGGCATTGGGTGAGCTGTGCTTCTCTGTCAGGGTGGGAGCGATGTGTGGTGATGTGCTGTTTTCTAACGCTTGTTATTCTATAGAGATGGATGAAGATGTGATGTGGTGAAGCTTGAGCATTTGTCGAATTCCAGGTGGCAGTTGTAGATGGCTGCTGCTTTGACTTCAGTGTCGTTCATTGCAATACAGGCAGGAGAAAAGCAGTAGTAACAGTAATGGTAAGATGCTGCTCTTTAAAACTAAATTAAGACAATGCTTAGAGAAAGAAGCTACATCTCTCCAGCCAGTGCGTTTATGCAAGTATACGTTTCTTGATCTGAGCTGTCTTTAGCAGTTAGCTGTGTTTTTTTTGTTGTTTTTTTTTTTGTTTTGTTTTGTTTTTGTTTTTTTGTTTTTTAATTGAACAAATGTAGTCAGAAATGTTTTATTGGGCATAGATCAATATCTGGAGGAAAACAAAAACAACAGATCGGCTCATCCCTTTTGATTTGGATTAGTGGAGCTCCAGAACTTTTTTTTCTATATCACTGTATATGCTGTACTTTTATAGTATTTGTGTATCTAAAGGATGATTCTGTTTCAGTTGATGCTTCCTGTGGAGATCTCGTGCAAAGTCTTTTTCATTCCTGCTGCTCAGACTTGCAACAAAGTAAGTATTAAGAGTGCATGTCCTTCTACTTACAACTGACAGCATGCTTTTACCAGTACAGCTGAACTGCTAATGTAGAATATCCAGGCCAAAGTGATTTAAGGCAAAGTTACTTGTTTTCCATGTTACAACAATGCATTAATATGGCAACATCTGTCTAAGTGCAGAATTTTGTCTTGGCCAGATTGATCAGATGGACTCAATGAAAGATGGGAACTTAGCTAAAAATACTGTTACTACTGATATGTGAACTGATAATGTGGTGATTGTTTAGCACGCAGTATTACAAAATAGAAGTATATCTTCTCAAAAAACACCTCTTAATGAAATAAAACTGTAGCAATGTTGAATTATACTTGGAATTCTGTGGGGACTCTGAGCGTGCCGTGGAAGGCATATGAATATGTGACAGCTTTACTTTATTTTGTAGTGGCTTTAACTTTCAAGAGTTTACAGTTTATAATTGAAGAATAAAAATGTACAGTAAACTTAGTCAGGAAGCCTCTGTTGTGCTCTTTCCGCTGCTTCTATCAGCATTTTTCTGAACCTCTTCATTTTTTTCATACAACTTGTTATGAAAATGTCAGTAAGAGTTAATGGAAGTTGAAATTTATGAAAGTTGATAATTTCTTTAAATCCTAAGAATATCCTAAGAAAATCCTAAGAATAAAACAAAGAGATGATGGTGATCTGATGACATGATTGCAAAGAAAGAAAGCGACTGCAGTTCCTGGGGCAGGCTCCATACTGCCTGCTTGTGGTGGGTGTTGCAGCAGTGCTGAAGTGCTAGTCTGAGGCTGCAGATTCTCCGCAAAGCATTCAGTCAGGTGTAAATATGCAGGGGAAAAAAAAAAAAGGGTAATCCGTTAACAAGGTGGATATTATAAAAGTCTGTGCAAGGCATCTTGACAGTAAGTAACTAAAATTCTTATTTAACCTCAAAGTATTTTCCTACCTCTATTTTATAAAATTTTCTGTTTCAGGTTTTGTGAATAAATGCCTTTATTTGCACTTCTAACTTAAGCCAACGTGAATTAAAAGTGATCTGATATTAAATGAATATCTGAAATTCATTTCTCAGTCGGTGGAGTAAACTGCAGAATACCTAGCTCCCTGTTGTGTTTTGTGGAATGTTGTGAATCAGAGATCATGCTCCCAAAGAAATTGTGTGGATTCTCCAGAGGATGGGTGTTACAGGTTCAGAAAACAAGGAAATGTCACTGCAGTAACAGTAAGTAAGTAACTGTCATTGTCGATACCAGGGAGGCCATAATAAAAGCCTAAAACTGTTTGGCAGCTCCACGACAGCTTAATGTCATCTTCTACTGTGACAGAACATGAATATTCCTTAAATGTATCTGTTTCTCTGTCAATATCCTGTTAGAAGTTATGAGACGATTGTAGAGATTCTGTTGCTGCAAACAGAGCTTTGTGTTCTGTGGTTCCAGAGTCTCTCCAGCCACTGAGCTACTCTTGAGTTTTTCATCCATGATAGTGAAAACATTGATAGTGCAATGATAACATTGATGTAGTTCTGTCTTCCTGAATTTGTTTACTACTGGAGACACTACCAATATGCCAGCACAACATTATGCCAGTGTTGGGAGCAGTAAGCATTTTGCTGGTGTTACCTTGTTTTAGCAGAATTTATCTCTAAAATTGCTCTGATAAGCTTATTTAATATCCAAATCACTCAAGCCTTTAATTTCATCATAAACAACTTATATTGCATTTTCCATGTGAAATCATTAAGACAAAAACCATATTAAATCATAATTCTTCACACTTGAGCACAAATAATTACTGCCTCTTGTATGCACTGAGATAATATATTAAATAAAGCAAGCTTTTAAAAAAAAAAAAATTTTTTTTTTTTTGCTTGTATAGACTACATCCTCTTCCAGGACTCTGTGTAGACAGTGGTGACTCAAAACCTGAAGATAAAGATCAGTAGTACTAAATTCAGAAGTCCAATTTGGTATTGCAGGGCTATGGTTTCTAAGAACACTTAACATAAGAGAGTGCTTATATATTTAGCATATGTACTCCATAAACTTCAGTAGGCACTTGGCTATACTTGTCATATCCAAGCTGTCAAGCTGGATGATCAGAAAAGGAAGAGTGAACGATCACACAGTGGTTGTGTGCAACATAAAGCAATATGCACTGTCAAAACCATGATGCCTTTGTGCTTTCCTGTTAATTACCTAATTTGTTATAAACATCTGGCTAATCTCTATATCATCTTGTATTAATGGCACATCAGCAGTGTAAGTGTGTAATTTTGGCAAGGAGTTGTACTATGACAGGATATTCAGAGGACTTATTTGTGCTTGGCCTTTGTGTGGGGTGAGGATGATGCTGGAATGCATCCATCAGGAATATTCCAGTTGAAGACCCTACTTTTGTGGCATGGGTTTTTGGTTTTGTGTTTTGTTTTTTTTTTTTGTGTCGGTGGTTTTTTTGGTTTGTTTTCTTTTGTTTTTTGCATCTTAAGATTCTCTCTTATATGAAGCCATACTATATATACTGATTTGTATATATGTGATTTTGGAAGATATCTATGAATAATAGAGAGATGCATCAGGCACTGGCCAAGGTAGCCAGGTCTGAGACAAGGCAAAGAAAACCTGCTCAATACTGCTTACTTGTTATCTGATACATACAAGTATCAATTTTTTTTGAACATGGCATATCTTTCTTTGGATTCTTTTTCTTTTCTTTTTTTTTTTTTTTTTTTTTTTTTTTTTCCTGAAGCAATGAGGTACTCCTGGTTTTCTTGTTTGTGTTTGCATGCATATCATGTATTGAGTCATGACTGACTTTTTTCATTTCATTTTTTCTTCCCTGGATTTTGATGTTGCCTTGCTTTGTAGCCCTTCCCCATGTAGGTGAGAAGACAGGGCTTTAATTCTGAATGAGCCCATCTATTTTGGGATTACTTCAGAAGTAAATGACTAGGGATTCACAGCAATGCTTCTTCCACTGCGTATCATCTTAATCATGTGCAGACCAGGTCTGTCTTCCAGAATGAATGAGGAAGAGGTAGTAAACTAATTAAGACTGGATTTGTCTCATTTCTGATTGAATTCTAATTTAATTATATAAGAGCTGCAGTATTAACTCAGTATTAACACTGGATTCTTTCTTGGTAGTTTACCTTTGTGAGTGACCTAACTTGGAAGAGTGCTCAGAATTTGTGCTTTGTTACATGTTAAGAGTTTTGATACTGACAGTAAGAAATTAGAAATAAAGTAACTCTGAGATGTATTAAATTAAGTTTCTGAGTTATCAGACTTGATGAAGGCAGTGAGCAAGATTTCTTTCTTTCTTTGAATAAAGGCTGAATCCAGGATACAGGAGAGGAACAGGGAGTAGAAAAGGGTTGTGAGAAATTAAGAATATGTGTGTAGTCATGATGTTTACGTGGTCTGTGCTTGCTTAAATTCATTCAAATGTATGTTAAATGAAAAATCTTCCAAAACCCAAACCTGATGAGGAGAACAAGCATCAAAAATGATGATTGGTATGAGAAATATATTGTGTCAAGTCTTCTTTGGCAGAGCACTCTTTTTTTTTTTTCTTTTAAATCTCTGTGGCTGCTTTTTGATATACATTTGCATAAATTGTGCTCATCTGGTTGTGGAGTGAGGTAGTTCAGGGGGCTAATGAGAAAATCATTCACCTGTTTATGAAGGGTTATTAGGATGGCAGTTACCGTTTGGCAAGGATAATTTCCCAAAAAACTTTTGCAGGTAAAGCTACTGTACAGAATATATCGAAGGTGCCAAATGTTAAATACCACGAGTTGAATAATTAATGCTGGAGTGACAATGATGAGAGATGGGGTAGCATTATTTCCTTGTATATAGCTCAGTCTGCTCTTTTGTAAATAACAGTATCATTATAAATGAGTGCGAAGAATTTTACTCAAAGGGTTGGGATTTTTGTGTTTTGTTTTTATTTATTTTTTAAAAATAATCAGCTTTAAAAAAGCAACATAGATTTCAGATTTTCTTCTCCCTGATCTGCTTCTCAATCTTACCTCAAAAAAATCCTGAAATTTCAACAATGTGGTGGATGCAAGTTCTGTGGTTATAAGTCCTGATTCACAAAGGATGCATGTGTGGTATCCTCTTCATTAAACACATTGCTGTTCTGCTCTTCAGACAACCTTCAGATAAGCAAATGGGTTAGCCCTGTGCTTTTAGTGCAGCATTTTGTGAAAATAAATTACTGATTTATGTTTTTCTGAAGTGTAACATATATAAGCTTTAATATATATATATATTAAATATATTAA